GTTTTTCTAATGTTTTTATTTATTTAGATTCAAGTAAACGAACTTGAATTCAATTTAAATTGCTCTAACAAGTTTTTTATAAAGACCGACTATTATATTTTTTGTTCTTTCTTTTAGTCTATTATCAAATTGAAAAATATTATCTTCAATTTAAAGTTTTAAACTATTGATATCACATATAAAAATATGAGTCAATTTGCAAGTTATGTAACACATTGAAACACTAATTCTCAATAAACAAGCTAACTTTTTTTTAATTTTCATTTTTTCATAACGTAAATATAGTAGCACTAAAGAAAATAAGTTGGGCCGAAATTACAAATATAAACATAACTATTTTATTTACTTGAATAAAAATAAAAAAATTACAAAAATTATAAATGATCAAAATTGTAATATACTCTAATATATTAATACATTTAATATTTTTTGAAAAAGGTCAATAAAAAGTTAAAAATACAAAAAAAAACAAATAATTGGAAAACAAATAAGAAAAATAAAAAGATGAAAAAATTAAAATATAATACGAAAAGAAAAATGAAAAAAACTAAAAAAAAAACTCTAACATACTCTATATATACACTAAAAAACTAGAAAACAAAAGGTAAAAAAAATCAAATTGTTGAAAAATAAAGTTAAAAAAAAAAATAAATAAAGTATATATATAAAAAAGAAAAAAAAATGTATATATATTTATAAAAAAAACCCGAAAATAAATAAAGTATACAAAAAACGAAAAATAATGTTAAAAAACAATGTGGTGTAATTTTTTGCAAACCTCAGAACCAAATTTGAATTTTTAAGACTGATTTTGCAAAAAAAATTAACCAAATTAACCATGAAACTCGTTAAATGAATTAGAGCGATAATTTTACAAGAAAGTTGTGGCCATAGCGATAATAAAAAAAAATATTATGGCTTTTTCCAATTAAGCGTTAAAAATTTAGGACTTTTATAATATTAGTCACTCAATTAAACATACAATTTTAAGAAATCAGATGGAATTAAATCACAATTTCTAACTCTTTTAGATAAATTGAAGTGTGATTGGCAGTGCTTTTTGAAACTTAGCAATTGGTTAATAAATTGTTTTAAAGAATTGAACGAGAGGCACCTTGATGTTCAAAAATTAAGATTAATGACAAGTAGTTAATTAAATAGAGAAATTATAGGCTCGATCGATCGGGTGGCGAAAAGAACTCACCTGAACAACAAGAGGAGGAGTTTCTACAAAAGTGCGAGCATCAACCCGAAAAAGCAGTTTCCTCCAAGACTTATTTGGTTTGTGGGAAAGCTGAAGGAAGTGCTGAGCAGTGATATCCATGTATGCTTCTGCAAAAACAGCACCTTCGCCATTACACTCAACCTGAAGCTTCTCATCGTCGTCGTCATGTTCTTCATGAGCAAGGTGTAGGGGTTTCAGTCTGCCCGCCAATGGATAGTAATCTACAAGAACCTTAGAGAGAGAAGATTTGAGGAGATCGACGGCTACACAGTTTTGAAAAAGATAAATATATTTAATTGAGAATCTAAGGAACTTTTGATCATCGATATTGGAGAGATAAAGAATGTGATTTGGGGTGGGGCTGTTGGGTTTGATCAAACTTGGTTGCTTCTGTTCATAGCGACAATCTGGGAGTTCTTCATTCCATGATCTTTCCATGCTTGCTGCTTCGAGGTTCTAATCTCACTCTCTGACAGAGATAACGATTTGAGAGAGAGAGAGAGAGAGAGAGAGAGAGAGAGAGAGAGATTAGTGGAGAAATAGGAAGATCTACTGCAAATATATGGGATCAATTATCTATTTAGGTATGTCGACAACCAACTTTTGAAAGTTTTAGAATAATTTGGAATTAAAAAAAAAATTGTTCGGTAGTATCACCTTAAGATTATTATTTTAAATAAAACATTTATGTTACAAGAGCTATGTTTAAATAGTTTTTGGAAGTTTTAGCTACTAAAAACTTTTAAATTTTAAATTTTATATAATTTCATATCTTTAGAAGTTTATAATTATTTTTACCGAATATTTTTAAAACTTTAATAAAAAATTAAGCTTTAAGTGAACAGCTAGTTTTGAAAAAAATAATTAATATCTAGATTGCTTGTTTATGGTATTTATTTTACACATAATAAACATATTAAATAGGATCTAAAAACTATTTACAATAATTATATACTTCCTCTAAAAATAACATTTGGGCTTTGTAAATACTAGTAATGCGCTTTTTATGGCTTCCAACCTGCTTATCATGCCTTTCTAACGATATATATATATATATATATA